GCTAGGACCTGCAGAACTGTGTTGAATAACAGTGGGGAGAGTGGGCATCCCTGTCTTGTTCCCGATCTCAGAGGAAAAGCTTTCAGCTTCTCGCTGTTCAGTATGATGTTGGCTGTGGGTTTGTCATATATGGCCTTTATTATGTTGAGATACCTGCCCTCTATACCCATTTTGTTGAGAGTTTTTATCATGAATGGATGTTGAATTTTGTTGAATGCTTTTTCAGCATCTATGGAGATGATCATGTGGTTTTTGTCCTTTTTGTTTATGTGGTGGATGATGTTGATGGATTTTCGGATGTTGTACCATCCTTGCATCCCTGGAATGAATCCCTCTTGGTCATGGTGTATGATCCTTTTGATGTATTTTTTAATTCGGTTTGCTAATATTTTGTTGAGTATTTTTGCATCTATGTTCATCCTTTTTATTTTTTAAATGTGGCTACTAAAACATTTTAAATTACACATATGGCTCACATTCTATTTCTATTGGACGGCGCTCTTCCCAAAGATTACTTATGTCGTTGATTTAAGATTTGTCTCTTGGGCAAATGCAATATTCTTGCTTTTGAAGTAATACACTTACTATTACTGTCATTTAATAATAATGAGGATGTGATGGGCATTGAGCATGGATTTTGAGAGGAAGAGAGGCCCTCCAAATTGTCTGTCTGGAGACGGAGGGAGGGGAGGAGAGATGGGGCTCAATACACAAAGGTAGAGTAAAATAAGGCAGAAGAGAGGTGTTTTATGAGTCTTCAAGGAATAAGCACTTGATTGGGGGTCAGGAAAACTGGGTCTCAGCCTAGCCTGTAGCGGACTCTGTAACGAGTACGTCATTTCATTTCAGTATCGTCGTCTGCAGTATGAGGATGCAGACTGGCCAGCACACCTCAGCGAGCCAGGAATGAGTGCCCGTGAGCTCTCCCAGGCTGCAGCTGTGTCCAGAATGTGAGCGGCCTTTGCCTCGTTGGGGTAGCCACCTCCCACACACTAGCAAACCTCTCCCTCCCTTCTGCGGCAGCATCGCAGCTCCTGCTGCCCTAAAATCTCTAGACCCTGATTGGTGCAGACCAAGGACCCATCCTTCTTCTTGTGACAGCTGGTCCAAGCCTTCCAACTTGAGCTGTCCCAAGTCATTTAGGCTGATTCACGCAAGCCATGCCTGTCCTAGAGCCAGCTCCAAGGGAGTGCCGCAGTGGGTTAAACCCACACACCTCACCCAGTTGAAAAATAGCCACCGTTCTGTGTAATGGTAATTCAAACACGCAATGCTTACTCCTCCTGCCTCAGGACTTCATCTTTGCCATTTCCTCCACCTGTAATGCTTTGCCTCCTGACTTGCACTTGGAATATTTGCTCCTTGACATCAATCAAATCTCGAATAGCACTTCCTTAGACCCTTCGTGACCATAAAGAACACCTTTCCTTTGCTTTATTTTTCTTCCTTGTACTTGCTTCTATCTGCAATTTCTTGTTTACTTGTCTGTGTCTCTCCCTGGAACGTAAAGTGCCTAGAAGAATGTCTGGCAATAGACATTCAGGACAATGAGTCTCCCCAGCCTTCTCCCTCTCAGCTTAGCCACCTCCAGAGCATCCCTACTGCGGACCAAGCTCCGTGCTGCCCCAGTGAGGGTGTCCACCTTATGTACAGCCAGGGCCTCTTCTGGGTGCACTGTGACTACTTCCATCACTGCATGGTGTTTTTTTTTTAATTATCCATTTGTTGGATGCTGCATCAGTCAGAACAGTTAGGAAAAACAGATAATAGTCTAGGTAGTTCAAATGGAAGTGGTTTTTATATAGGCAATTAATTGCAAAAGGGTTGAGGGCTGGAGGACCCAATGGAGGGAGGAGTCCAGAAACCCACTCTTGTCCTGATGCACCCTTAGGTCTAGTTTCCACCTTACTTCAGTGGGCCACTGCCCTGGAAGAGAGAACGGCCTACCCACAAGACCAACCAGTTTCAGCTTGAAGAGAAAGTTACTTGACTGATACCAAGATGCTATTTCAGAATTCTTTAGGACTGAAATTCTGATTTATGTTTGTATTTGCCCCAGAGATGTGCTCAGTGAATGGCTGTTGAACTGAATCCCAACCTTGGCTGATATTGTCCTTTACCACTTCCCGCAAATGTGTGTCTCTTCCCTTCCCCCTTCTCAATCCTACCCATCCCTCCAGCTCTACCCTCAAGATTCACCTCCAGGAAGGTGCCCCTCTGCAGTCCCCACTGGGCTCTGAGGTCTTAGAGCATTTTCATCATTGTCACTCATTTTGGCCTTTTTCCTACATGTATTCATATGGTTCATGTGATATCTCCCTAATTAGACTGTACTGTTCTAGAGGGCAGGAAATCTCCCATGCCCACATTCAGGCTTGGGAGGGATGCTATCCCTTAGTCCAACCTTTCATTCAATGCCTGAATCGCCTTTACAACATCTCTGGCAACTTCTGATTGGGTCTCTTGAAGACCTCCAGTTCTGTGGTTCTCATTACTTAAATAAGTCTGGCTCAGAGCAGAAATACAAGAAGATGCTAAAAACAATGTTGCTGAATTCAAGCTACTTCTCCCTTAAGACTGAGTCAGTCCTTGGCTGGGTGTGGGACACAGAAGAGGGAGAACACAAGAAATGAACAACTTTTTGGCTAAAAATGTTGGGGAATGTTTCCAATAAAGCCTAAGTCCAAGCGCTAATCCATGTGTTGGGATTCAGCTCTTGCCCAGTGTTATTTAGGGTAAGTGAGTCACAAAACATAAACTCAAATCTCTCTTTTTTTTCTCCCATAGGAAAGGCTGTGGAGAGTGATTGTCTGGGATGACATCCATGTAGAGTGCTAGAAAGATATCTTCTCCATACAGCAAACATCTGGCAGGAGCTTTGCAGCTTACAAAGCCCTTTCCCATACATCAGCTCATTAAAACTATTTGATGGAGGCAGCACTATCCTAACTTAATAAAGGAAGAAACTGAGATTTAAGTTCCTAGGGCTGCAGAGTCAGCATTCAAACTCGGTCTTCAAAAGGTTCAAGAGGTCTAGTGCTCTGATTTTCACAAAGGTAGACAGTCGTTCGTCTAGAAAAACCTGACACTCTAAGTAGAGTTCACTCTGTTGTGTAAAGGCTGGACTAGGCCTGGAGAAAGAATCAGGGTCAACAACCGCGTGTGGGTGCAGATTCCTCAGACGCCGGGAATCCAGATAAGTGGCAGGGGCCAGCCAAATCCTCGTGCAGTCTTCCCATCTCCAGTCTTCTCCCTTTAGAGAAGTAAATGAATTCCTCAAATTCCTCTGCCCCAGTTGTGTGAAATGTTTGCCTGTGGGTTAGGACTGGCCTATGTGTCCAAAAAGTGCTGCTTCTCAGGTGGCATGATTCCTGGGGCTCCTCGCTGTGGCTGGCCCCTCCCTCGCCACCCCCTTCACGGACCAGTTCCGTGCAGATATCACAGCTTGAGCTTCTCTCCTGTTACGTGAAGTGTGATCCCTGTTAAATTCCAAAACACCTTGGGAGTGATACTTTAACACCATTAGCAATCACAAATATGGGTGAATGAGTTTCAGAGCTTTTCCTGAGAACGGTGTTTTTTTCATGGTAAAATAAAACATATTATATGAGTGATAAATATTAATTACAGAAAGGTAAGCCTAACTGATAGACTGGAAAAAGAGTTTCAGAGCAGATCCGCACCAATATGGAAGCTGAGGCACTGATAAATGGTGGTGTCAGTAACCTGCGGCAAATGCGAAGGTGAGTAAAATGTACTGGGATAATTGGTAACCCATTTGGAAAGAAATGCACTGGATCTTACCTCACTATACATACACACACAGACACACAAATCAATCCAGATATTGACTAGGAGGGCAAAACTTTAAAACTTTCAGAAATTTTAGGAGATGATTATTATGAGCTCAGAGTACAGAAGGTTTCTTAAGATTAAAAAAAAAAAAAAAGCACAGACCATAAAGGAAAGGACTAATACACTAGCTCCTTCAAGATATCTTAAAACAGAAGTTCTCAACTCTGGCTGCACGCAAGAATCACTTGAGCTTGTTCAAAATCCTAGTATCCCATCCTCTGGGAGTGGGCCCTGGACACAACCTCAGCGCTGGTACCTGCAGGTCCTGGAACCAGAGTATCAGCGGAGATTCATACCCAGGTCTAAATATTTAAGAGCTGCAAATCAAGCTAACAAACTGTTAAATAAAATATTTTTCTGTCTTCCCATCTTGACAAATCCACCTTCATAATAGCTGGGAAGGCCAAGTTCAAACATAAATTTCTTAGACTCTTCAGAGTTCCAAGCTAGAGGTGGCAGTTCAAGGACAGTTGGCCTTGGCCTGCCTTTCTTCTCTTTGTTCTCCTCCCAGCTCCAGTGTCATTCTGTATCTCAAGGGCCTCATGCACATATATGTGGACATCCCAGCTTCCACACCCAGGGGCCAGCCACACTTCCTACAGAAAAAGCTATTCCTCTGGCCTGGAGATGCACATGCCAGTGAAACAGTCTCTACTCAGAGGAATGGACCCTGGAAGAGGCCTGAGTAGGTCCTGGGAGTTGACCCAGAATAACAGGCAAGGTGGATGGGCTATAGGCTTTGGGTGGGCACATCCCTTTGGCTGTGGATACCCAGTGGTATCTTCTAAAGTAGAACCCTGGGCAAGGTCTCCTCCTACCTTAGTCTTAGGGCGGAACTGCCTGAATGCCTGTACTTTTGCTTCTGTTAACTTTTTATCAGTGTTACGGTATATGTACAGAAATGTACACAAATTTAAAAAAATGTACACAAATTATAGGTGTGCAGCTTGATGAATTTTTTACAAATCAATTAATGATATATGCATTTATCAGAGAAATTATTTTTTTAAAGGGAATAATAATAAAAGGAAGAGACTGTGAAACACAAAATTTAGTATCGTGTTTTCCTCTGGTGGGATAGAGACACATATCAGTAATGTTCTAATTTCTGAACTGAGCAAGGTTACAGTGTTTCATGCTTCCTAACATATGTGTTACATATATTCTTTTGGGCATCCTAAAATCAACTCGGGGTCCTGCAGTCAGGGACATTCTGCTTGAAGACAAAATGAGCCCTGCATGTTTCAAATGTTCCTGGGAGCATTCCTGTGATTTATCATCTTGGTTCACCCAAACGCAAACAGAACTTTCTGTGAAGAAAGGAAAAAAGGAAGCATATACGCTTTAATACAATTCAGTGTAAAGACTGTGTCTTTTTTGACTACAAATAAAATATATACTACATAGAACTTAAGTACTACATAAATCCAAACTACAAGAAGTAAAGTCTCTCCCAAATGCTCTGGGAACCTGAGGGATCTGCTTATGTGGCTCTCCATCATGTTTCCAACAGGGAAAATAACTCTTGGGGAACAGCAGCAATTGGCCCGAGGTTGCTGGGCAGACAGCAGCTGAGCTGGGACTGGAGCTGTGGTCCAGGGCTCTGCTCCCGTCCTGCACGCTGCTTCTCTGGGAACCACCACCCACTGTGGAATTTAGTTCTCTTACCACTAAATCCCACTGTGTAGGGCTGTGCCCTTGGTCTCACATAAATGAGTATATCATACATGTGCCTTCATTTAGCCAATATTCACAGAGTGCTTACCATGTGCCAGACCTTGGCAAAGTGGATGGAGAAGATTCCTGCCTCACGGCACTTATATTCTAAAGGGGACATTCAGCAAATAAGGAAACAAGACGATTTCAAATAGAGGTAAGTGTGGAAATGAAAACAAACTCAGTGTGTGATGTGACAGAATGATCAGCCACGGCAGGTGCCAAGCATCACATTCTGTGGCTGATATTCCCAAGCAGGAGGCAGAGAAGACCTCCATCAGACAGCTTTAAATGTGTGTCTCACTACCAGGTCACACAGCCTGCAGTCTGTTGTGCAAGAATATTATTATACTTCCCGTCATCCTGTAACTAGTATAATTGCAGCATGATTTGTGTGTATCTTCAAAGGACTCATTTGTTTAATGTAAACATTTAAGTGTGCTATATTTTTATAACCCTATTTTAGTATTTCTTCATTTGTAATGTACTGGGACCCCCTCCCTCCCAAGTCGAAGCATTCCAGGGCCTTTCTAGTCTCTATGAGACCCTAAAATGGAGGTATTGTTGTCAGTATTTGAAGGCAGGATGAAGTCCTAATGGACTGTCCACTGCTGCATTCAGATTTGTCTGGGAGATCACCACCAAGAAGTTCACCCCTGTGCCTTCTGGCCTGTGTGGGATAACGAGGCAGGTAAATCTCCCAACAGAAAGAGAGCCAGACTTGGGACTTGGGTCTTATTTCCCCAGAATGCTCAGAAAACACCCCCGCTGGCTCCCTCCAGGGGTTCTTGTTTATCCTGTCCTGAGTGTATGGTCAGTGTGAACTGGGAGCCCATGAAGCTTGAGCCAGGGAGAGAGAGTGCCCAGCTTCTAGAGACAAGCCCATACACTGGAGGTGATAGACTGAGTTGAGGGACAAGCCCCTGGTGTCAGCATGGCTTCTGCCTTTTGTCCCTAAGGAGACAGCACAGAGCTGGACGTTTGGTATCTCAAGCAGGTCACCTGTTTTCCACTCCTGGTTGCAGCTCTGGACACTGCTTCCACTGCTCACGTGCTGCGTGGGAGAAGAAAAGAAAATCGGCTCCACCAGGGGCAGTGGCACCTGGCCCGTGGCTGGCCGCTCTGTGTGTTACAAGCCAGCCAGCCTACACATCGCTCTCTTATTGGTTTGTTTTCTAGCATATAAATACATGTTTGTCTTAGTCTGTTTGGGCTGCTATAACAAAATATCATAAACTGGGTGGCTTCTCAACAACAGAAAATTTTTTTCTCACCATTCTGGAGACTGGGAAGTCCAAGATTGGGAGACACAAATATTCAGTCTATTGCAGTACTCACTGTAATAAATTAAAACAATATGCATTTTAACGTGGGAAAATGATCATCTCTAAATGTTTTGCCACTATAAACAATGCTGGAATGAACAGCCTTATATGGCCATGTTTGCAGACATAGAAAGGAATCTGGATGATCATTCTTTTAAAAACATTTATTTTTATGATTACAAAAGAAATTCATGCTCATAATAAAATGTCAGGATGAAACAGTGGAAAATGAGAGTCACCACATCCAATCCCCAGTCCCAGTTCCCAGGATAATTAATACATGATCTTACAGATTTTTCTCTACCTGCATTCAAACACTTTTTAAGCAAAAATAGGATCATTCCATGCATATCATTCTGCAACTGGCTTTTTTACTTGCTATCTCTAAATGTTTAGGTTCATTCATTTGATAAATATCTACTGAGCCCCTACTGTGTGCCCAGAAGTGAGGGACCCAGCAATGTCCTTGCTTTCAAATAATTTTCATTCTAGTGGAGGGGATGGACATAGATAGACAAGAAGCAAATTCATTACAAGTAGTAATGAAAACCAAGAAGTGACAGGTGATGAAAGTTAACAGGAAGTTAACAGTCTGTAAGGTTTTATGTCATCTTTCAGTGGTTCCATGGTGTGCATTGGAGTTTCTGGCTTTTCTCTGTTATAAATGATGCTTTGAGAAACATCTTTGTCACAAAATCTGCATGTCTGTAGGAGCAGATCTCAGCTAGGGCCTAGCTATCTTACAGCCTTTTTCCTTCTAGGGCTAGCAGGTGTTGCCAAGCCAAGGGCAGAAAGGCAGCTCCGGGGACTGCTGGGAAGGGAGACAAAGGAGTGGGGAGCTGCAGTGCAGGGGAGCTCGCAGGGTTTGGAGTCAGACTGCAGAACAAACCACTGCTCAGTCACTGGCCAGCCCTCTGCTAACCTCCCCATTTGTGAAATTAGACAACCGTCTAATCACTCAGGTTACTGCAAGGATTAAATGACATGGTTTCTCCTCCTGTTCTCCATGAAACAGGCATAAGCATCTTGTTCTCATGTTCATCTACTCATCAGACTGCTATGAGATCCCAGAGAATACAGCCAATAGGGACAGACTTCCCTAAAGAGTAAGCGGCAAAATTTGTAAAGTGCCATTTCATTCCCATACGTTGGAGGGGTGGAGCCTTGCTCTTTAAATTGTGGTCTGAGGACCAGCAGCATTGACCACACCTGTGAGCTCATTAGAACTAAGGAATCTCAGGTCCCGCTGGAGGCAGGTTGATTCAACACTAACAAGATTCCCAGGATTTCCCATGCACATTTTAGTTTGAGAAGCACTTGTTCAGAGTGGACGGTAACAGGCAGGTGGAGTTAAGTATCTCTTCATCTCAACTAGGGATTGGACAGGGTGTGACCTAGAACATTCTTCTGGGTTGAAGTTGGCCTTGTTGCCTGGACTATCAATATTATGGTATTTATCCTTTGAGGGAGAGAACTCAAAAGGCCACATTATTTCCTCAATCTGTTTCTATAACCAGAAGTTGGGAACATTACCTGCTTCAAGATCTCAAGCTATCAGGGCTGGGAACAGCCCCACTCAGCCCATACCTGTTCCACCCCCATTTCACAGCTGAGGCTCTGAGAAGGGCCGTCTTTTGCTCAAAGTCACACAGCAGCCCCATGGTGGCCTCAGTCGGCTCCCAGCTAGCTGGTCCTTAACTCTTCCCTATTCCAAATGATGGTCTGTTATTTTTTTCTGTGGATTCAGCTCAACTTTTTAGAAAGACGGTTTTTAAAAAAATTGGTTTATCATAAGTGAATTATGTGCTTATTGTAAATAATTCAAACAACAGAGAAATTATCCCAACAATTTCAGTCTACCCAAGAGAAATGAAAACATATGTCCACACAGAAACCTATACATGAATGTGAGTAGCAGTACCATTCATAATAGCCACAAATTGAAGACAGCCCAGTGTTCATCAGCTGCTGAATGGATGAACAAATGTGGTCTGTCCATATAATGGAATATTCTTCAGCAATACAAAGGAATGGAGTACCGCCATGTGCTACAGCGTGGATGGACCTTGGAACGCGCGAAGTGAAAGAAGCCACAAAAGACCAAGTCTTGTATGATTCCATTTATGGAAATGTCCAGAATCGGTACACCCACAGAGGGGAAAGCAGATGAGAGGTCGCCAGGGGCTGGGGGAGGGGAACAGGCACTAACTGCTCAGGGGTGTGGGGTGTGGATAAAGGGAAGGTTCCTGTGGCCAGGATTCTCACCTGACCCTGGTCGGCTGGCTCACTACATGTGCGGGCAATGCATCAGGATTGACTCTATAGAGAGAGCCCCCTGCCTGGTGTTCTGTGTGACACGGTGGCATGGCTGCAAGGCTGCAGGAGAGTAAAGCAAAGGTTGGAGTGGTGGCAGTGCCAAGGACAGAGACTGGGACAGCTGTGTGGGCAGAGACCGGCTTACTGCGTGCAGACTTGCTCTGAATGGACAGGATTCTAGTGATTGACCTGCCACCGTGGGAATAAAGTTGGGTATAACCCTTTCACCCCAAGAATGTTCTACTGTCATTTCTTTGGTCACACTGAATCCATAGTGAATTTGCCCAGGGCTGAAACCCATTGGCAAGATGGGTTTCCTTTTGAGATGATCAAAATGTTCTGAAATCAGAGGTGCGGGCTATACTACTCTGAATATATCGAAAGCTACAGATAAAAAAACCTTTGAAAAGGGTGAGTTTCATGGTATGTGAAGTATATCTCAGTGAAACAGTTCTTTAGGAAGAAAAGGTAGAAGGAAGGAAGTAGAATATCCTTTACGTCACCCCACCCATCTCCCAAGGAGCCACTCAGTCACTCCCAGATGTGGCCTGAAGACCTGCTCCGTGCAGTGAACAACCCACATCCGACAGCAGTGGCCACCCCGGCGCTCAGGGCCCATGACCAGGGCCTACACCGCCGCCAGGCTCTCCTCTGACTGACCTCGCCCGTCGCCTCCTTCCCTCCCTCCAGTCCCCCAGCTCCAGCAGTCCGGGGGGCCCAGCCCTGCTTGCTGCCCTGCCTTCCCCACCTCTTGCCCTCTCCACAACCTTCCCACGGCTCCGGTTGTCAGCCTCATGCAATAAAACCCGAGCAGTGGTCAAACCCCACTCCGCGCCTGCTCTGCACCCGCACCTGGGCCTGCTGGAGGGAAGCACGCTGCCCCGCCATCCTCTCGCTAGGATTCATGACGTGAGTCCCCAGTGGGCCCTTCATGCTGCCCGGCTGTAGGTCCTTCGTTCTCCCCATGACTGCTGGATACCTCTCTTCTCCTCTCTTTGAAATGGGGGCTGAAATACTTCTGCCTGCTGGGCTGTTGGCTACTTTGGAACCTGGCACATAATAGGCCCTCAATCCATGGTGGCCACCAGTCCCAGCCAGGGCTCCCTGGTGACCTTGTCTCAGAGGTGACCCACCCTATAGTCATTTACTTTGTTCCACTGGCTGGGAAGCCATGGGCTCTTGTCATATCAGATCCTCCTCCCGGAGAGAGGCGGGGACACGGCCCAGGGCAGTGGAACGCTCAGCAGCAGGAGAGGGAGGGCCACCGCTTCCTGCAGCCAATGTCTGGCATGATGGGTCAAGCGTGAGTCAGACCACAGGGCCAAGTGGAAACTTACCAGGGTGTGTGGAGGACTTGGGAGGGTGCAGACAGCTGGCACCCCAGTCTGGATCTGTGAAGCCAGGCATGAAGATGAGGGCACACCCAGGAATCCCAGCTGTGCACCTTCCAGGGGGCAGAGATCAAAGCCTGGAGGAAGGAGGAAGAGGAAACCCGACATCCATCTGCGGCAAGTCAGGTCTCTCCCCCTGCAGGATGCCTGCCCTCCCTCCCACCCAATGGGATCATCTGCCCCGGGTCAGCCTGTTCATAACACTGACCCCATCTGCATGCCAACACCTCGCACCTAGGCGTGGAGGTGTTGAGAGGTTTGCAGATGTCTGATGGGTCTATAAGTATTTCTTGGAGGATACTAGCAACAGTGGGAGGGGCAGAAAAGGCCCTGCTCCTAAGCCAGGTCACCTGGGCCTTGGCCACTGACCAGCTGTGCGTCCAGCAGGCCTCTCACCCTCTCTGGGCTCCAGCATCCACTTCTGTGAGAAAAGGCCGCTGGACTTGATGTCCTGCTGGTTCCTCAGCTCTGGACGGCCGCCTGGGCTGGGGGTCCTCTGTCTTGCCACTGCCCTCAGGGAAAAAGTCCCACCCTCTCCACCCATCCCAAGGGAACCTTGCTGATTGGGTTCTGCCCACGGCCAGACCTCATCTCCGCCCCTTCCCGCTCTCCTGGCAACACTCAGCTGTGCCCAGTTCAGAATGCTCTCTGCCCATCCCCTCAGCTGGCTGACCCCCTCTTCCTTGGGGCCCCTTGGCCTTCATCTCCTGACCTGCCAGCTGTGGACATCCCCTGTGGGCATCCTCTATCCTCTCTTCCCCAGTAAACAGCTCTCTTCCAAAGGCAGTGACCTACACACAGCAGGGTCAAAGAGTATTTTCTGAATGGATGAATGAACAAATGAAACGCGAAGGAAGTGGAAGCTCCAGGCACGCTGGAGTCCTGGTTTCCTTATTCCACACAGGGCTTTGTGCAAGGCAACCCTGGAGGTCTGCCCTGCCAGGGTGGGGTGCTGGTTAGAGGGGAGCATATTTTCCAGGGAGATTCCAGCTGGCCTCAGCCATGCCAGGGCCCCACACTGCCTGGCCTGTGACTCACGGGCCTCGAATAGAGTTTTCTTAACCCTTTCCCTGGCCTTTCCAGATCTGCCTTCAGATCAGGCCTTGGGGCTAGTGCCTCTCCAGCTTCTCCCTTGCTCTGGCCAGTCTCTCCCTAGGGGCCCAAAGTTTGCTCCATCCCCAGTGGCTTTAAAGGACCAGCTCAAGATTCCCTGGATGTATTGTGTTTTCCCCTTGCTCTGCTTATGGAGAGGAAACCAATGGCCATGCATGCTGGCTGAAGGTCACCCTGTTTTCCAGGACCCTTTACTGGCCACCCTTCATTTGGCATCTGCCTCCTCGTTGCTGGAGTGGAGGGGAGTACCAGCACTTCCCCCACCTGACCCCAGGACTCCCAGGTTCCAGAGGCTTCTGCTAGGAAATACCAGCCCTGAGGCTCTTGTTTACACTGCCTGCCTGGCCATCGCCAACGGGATCAGAGAGGCTTGCTCCAGTCCTGGGAACAACCGGGAACCCACATAAACTGGGCTGGGTCCCCACTTCTGCTTTTCTGACCTCCCTCCCTTCAGCGGGCCTCCTTCCCCTGTTCTAGACACTTTCTCTCCTCGCAGTCCAACGCATCCCCATTTGCAGAAGAGAATCTGATGGCCTCCCTGTCCTTGTCCTTGGGTCAGTGATAGGCAGAAACCCCCAGAACTCACAGCCTTTCCCCTTTTGGCTACTTTTTAAAATAAGCTTTAAGTTTTGGAATAGTTTTAGATGTACAGAAATGTTGCAAAGATAATATGGGGCATTTCCTTACACCCTTCACGAGCGTCCCCTTTTGTTAACGTGGAACATAATGGTGGCACATTTGTGAGAACAAGGAAACCAACACTGGACAGTCTTGTTCGCCAAGCTCCGGACTGTTCAATTTCACCAGCTTTTCCACTAATGTCCTTTTTCCGTTCCAGGATCCAATCTAGGGAACCACACTGCATTTAGTCATATGCTATTTAGTCCCTTTAAATATGATGATGAAAGTGTAATCGTCTCCATCTTACAGATGAAGGAAAAAGGTCCTGAGGGGTGGGTGACCTGACCCAGTCACAGGTCGGAGGCGAAAGCAGTGGAAAAGTATCGGCACTTAGAGCCAGAATCTACCGGTGCTGTGGCCTTGTGCCTTCGTCTTCTTGTCTGAAGGCTGGGATCACAGGTCATCGCTTCAAGGCAGGAGTGAGTACTGATTCCACGGTCACATCTATGGGCGTCCTCCTGCCCACGAAACAGTGGCCAGTATTATTATTGACAGCACATCATTACTAGGAGCCCGGACCTCTTCAAGACTCCAAGTTCTTTGTTAAGGATTATATATACTTAGGTGAGCTTCACCACCCGCCCTCTGGGCCCCTTTACCTGGGAGGAAGACCATCTTTACAGACCTGGCTTTGCCCAGGCCCTAAAGATTAGGTTAGAAATCCTAGGCATGGCGCCAGCAGGCTGGCTGGGGGTCCTTGGGCAAGTCATGGCACCTCCTCGGGCTGCTTCCTCACCGGTAAGATGGGGGCACACAGAGATGCTGGGAGGACGGTGTGGGAACCCTGGAGCAGCAGCCGGTGGCCCCCAGTGGCTCCTGGTGTGGACAGACCTTTGACCCTTGGGGTGAGGAGCAGGCAGGTCACGGCCGGGGCCTCCCAGTCAGGCAGGCCTGGTTCAGGTTCCAGGTCCCCTTCCTTCTGGGTGGGACCGTCCAGGCAGGCTACGTAAACCCTGTTGAAACCCCACTTCCCGCCAGGGATAATCAATCATCCCCACCTCACCAGCCTCACCCCAAACAAGAACACAGGAAATAAGTCCGTTTCTGTGGCCCTTCCTTACCCTCAAGACTGAAGAAGTTTGTATCTCCAGGTCAAGTAACTGGTTAGCTGCTTAACCAGAGAGAAGCCAGGTCTCGCTAAGACCCTGTCCCATCCACCTGAGCGGAGTCTCCCGGGCCTTCCCCGATGTCATTCAGGGACAGCTCTGGGGGCCAGCTGCCACCCGCTTGCTGCTGCTTAACTCTGCTTAGTACGGTGCCCTGCAAACGACCCCACCATTGCCCCTGATGAAACGAGGCATCATTAAAAACCTGATGAAGGAAGTGCTCAAGATAATTTACAAAAAAAAAGTCCTGACTTCCATGCAGATAAGAAGTGAATATGTTTCTTCAATCGGAAGTTACAATTGGCTCAAAAGGGCAACAGGAGAGCATTCATTTATAGGTCAGGAATATTGAAATAAATGTGCAAATAGAGGCAAAACTCATTTTTCCACAGGGGGGTGAGGGGGACACAGGGACAGTCTACTGGATAGGATGGAATTTATCATTACCTACAACTTCCAGAAGTGTAAAAAAGGTTGACGGCAGTAAGGCTAGAATCCCACAACCTGGAAGGGTGTGCTGCACGCGGACAGTGCATAGTTTTCTGCTGAAGAACACATTTTTTTCTGCAGAAGGAAGACCACGAATAGGCGCACTCCACAGTCTATATAACCTGATGATTGGAATAGTCACACGCTGTGCATACGAGGTCCTTTCTGAATGTATTGGGGAAATCACATGTCGCTAGCAAGCGAGAGGTCTGCCCTAAATACCAGCAGCTCCTAAGACGAAGGGCTCGAGACATTTAGGCTTTTATTTTTCCACCTGGATTTTGGTATCTGTGTTACACGATGGGTTCTGGAACATTCTAGAATGTGGGTGTTTCTAATGTGTGTCTGCAGCAGAGGCCTGTAGTTTTCACTGACTTGATCCTGACTCTGTTTGCAGCCCTAAGCAGTTACACCATCTCTCTGATGTACGGCTTCCTTGTCTTTGAATTGGGATAGTAATAGTAGTTACTACATAGTTGTTTTTTTTTAAATGAGTCCCTATTCATCTTTTGAGAGCTGTATTTTAAACTGGTAAAGCCATTTCTTCGAAAATGTCCTGTGGTCACTGGTATTGCTCCCTATGAGCCCAGCCTTCTGTCCCCTCCCATCCTGATCTCCTTCTGCCCCCGTTAATTCTTTCTTTCCACTACTGGTGTCCCTAACAGTAGGGGGCAGCATTTGGTTGCCCTGGAGGGGCTGGCACATGCTGGGGAGAGGCACATGCTGCTGCTTCTGGGCACCCAGGTATGGCTTCGGGTAAGGGGAGCCCTGGGGAGGGAGGTGACAAGCAGGAAGGCTCAGGCTCCTGGCAATCTCACACTGCCCTTTGTCTTGATTCTGTACTGAGTGCCGGTTCCCAGGTATCAACTTGGAGATCCCAGGTGGGACCCTCAGAGCAGTCAAATCGTCCCCCTCGAAGACGGTATGTTCCAGTTGCAGAAATCCATAACCACAGCACTCACTTCCTTCTGAATTCGTTTCCTTCTCTCATGCACATGCAACCACGTGCAGTGGGCAGGCAGGAATTACTCCCATCAGGCATCTGGAGAAGCTGAGAACATTGGTGTGCGGAGCTGGAGACCCATTTCGCTAGCTCATGCTGCCCTCTAGCGGCTACGCAGGGCACCTACCTCCAGGAAGCCGACTCAGCTAGGAGCATCTCTCTGGGTTTGCAGAGCAACAGCCAGCCTTCCAAGGACCCTTATCGAGAGACGCACCCTCACTCAGGATTCCCACATCCTTTACCATCCCCTCTCTCTGTCTCTGAGCATTAAGAATATATATGTATATGTTTGTGGCAAAATATACATAAAATGTACCATCTTAAACCACTTTTAAATGCACAGCTCAGTGGCATAAAGTACACTCACACTATTGTACAACCACCGCCCCATCACCTCCAGAACTCTCCGTCTTGCAAACTGAAAATCTATACTCACTAAATAACTCTCCATTCTCCCCTTCCAGCCCCTAACCAATCACCCTTCTACTTTGTCTCTATGACTTTGACCGTTCTGAGTACCTTATAGAAGGAGAAATCTCCCGAGAAGCTATTTAAATGGCAATAATCTATAAATGGGCAGCCTGGAAGACAAAGGCGCCCCCAGAACTCCATCCAGATACCATCCATCCCCCTCCATGCAACCAACCAGAAAAGGGCAGGGAGCACGAGGAATCACAGCACAGGATAGATGTCACTGATAGGAAAAACCAACCCAAACCGACCCACCCTTGGTGATGGGGAGAGAGAAGTGGCCCCTGGTGGCGGGGAGCAGGCCTGGCCCTCACAGCTGGGCCGTGTATGCCCCAGTCTGACTGCAGTCATGTCCTGAGCACAGCACCTCTGGGCCAGCTACAAAAATGGCCAACACTCCCTATCCTGTGGGCCTCTGCTGCTTGCCTTTCAAACCCAGCTGTTGCACCGCAGTTTAGAAACGAATCAAGCTTCTCAATCATTGAATTACCTCTGCTTCCTGACAGCACAGATCTGGAACAAACCTCCACTTCCTTTAATTCTCCCCAAATCCTTCAATACCAGCCCAAGTTGTATGGGTCCCTCCTGACACCCCGAGACGCC